CTGAATTCGACTCCACTACTTACTTGCTCTATCACCATGGGCAAGTTTCTGTTCCATAATTTCTTCCCTCTGCAAAACAGATCATAACAGCACCTACCTAATAAGGTTATGATGACAGGTTAAGAAATTACTAAGAACAATGCTTATCACATAGTAAGTGCTATATAAATGTTGGTTATTTTTGTATCTATCTGATAGTCACTATTTTTTGAACTGGCAAGCCTAGTCTATTTACATTAATTAAACATACTTATGCCTTTTAATTTTGTTTGGATTTTTTTCTATTTGTCCTATTATTTTGAGATTCTTTTTGTTCATTTCTAGCATCTTTACTCATTGATTTTCTATTTTCTTATTTTTCTATTAGTTTGTAAGTTATACACTTTAAAAACAAAATCTCTTAGCAGGTCCCTGTGATATTTTAGCATACTACATAACTTAACCAAAAGGCAGTTGTTTGAACAGAACATGGGAACACTGAATGGTTTAAAATTAAGAAAGGTTAATTAAAAGAATACAGGGCTGTATTCTTTCACCATACTTATTCACCCTGTATGCTGAGCAAATCATCCGATAAGCTGGGTTCTATGAAGAAAAACATGGCATCAGGATTGGAGGAAGACTTATTAACAACCTGCGATATGCAGATGATACAACCTTGCTTGCTGAAAGTGAAAAGGACTTAGGATATTTACTGATGAAGATCAAAGAGCACAGCCTTGGGTATGAATTGCATCTCAATGTAAAGAAAACAAAAATCTTCACCATTGGACCAATAAACAACATTCTTATCAATGGAGAAAAGATTGAAGTTGTCAAGGACTTCATTCTTCTTGGATCAACCATCAACACTCATGGAAGCAGCAGTCAAGAAATCAAAGGATTTATTGTATTAGGCAAATCTGCTGCACAAGACCTGTTTAAAGTTTTGAAGAGCAAAGATGTCAGCTTGAGGACTAAGGTGCACCTGACCCAAGCCATTGTATTTTCTATAACCTCATATGTATGTGAAAGCTGGACAGTGAATAAGGAAGACCATAAAAGAATTGATACTTTTGAGTTATGGTGTTAGAGGAGAATATTGAAAGTGCCATGGGCTGCCAAAAGACCAAACAGATCTGTGTTGGAAGAAGTGCAGCCAGAGTGCTCCTTCAAAGCCAAGATGGCCAAACTTCGTCTCTCATATTTCAGACATATTGTCAGGAGGGACCAGTCACCGGAGAAGAATATCAAGTTTGGTAAGGTGGAAGGTCAGAGAAAAAGAGGAGGACCCCCAGTGAGATGGATTGGGATGAGCGCATCAATGGGCTCAACATAGCAACAATTGTGAGGTTGGCCCAGGACCAGTCAGTATTTCGTTCTGTTGTACACTATGAGTCAGTACCAACTCGATATCTCCTAACAACAACAAAAGATATCTCAGAAGATCCTCAGCCTTAATTTGCTCCAAACTGAGTACATCTCCTCACCCTATATCACACCCCAAATCTATGCCTTCCCTGGTATGCCCTAGCTAAGTGAATGACAGAGACGGTTGCTCAAATCAAAAATCCAGGGTCACCCTCATTATCTCTTTTCTTTCTCTTACCACCATTTCTAGTTAATTGTGAGGGCAATGGATGCTGCATCCTCATTCTCTCTCAATTCTGTTCACCTCCCTACTTTTTGGTTTTCCATTCAACATGTTATTTGAAAGGTCCTTATAAAATGTGAACCAAATGATGTCACTCTCCCAGATTAAAACTCTTCAACTGTTTTTCATTTCCTTAAGGATGTAGCTTAAATGGCATGCTTTACCAAGCCCTTTGTTAACTTGCTTTGGTCTACCTTTCCTTCTGGAAGTCTATGTTATTGATAAGTGCCGTGGAGTCGATTTTGTCTCACAGCGACAAAATAGGGTTTCCGAGGAGCGGCTGTTGAGTGGTTCAGGCCAATCTTGAGGTCCACATCAAGTGCCACATCAAGACACCTCCCTAAATCTCTTTTGGCTCCTTCCTCTCATGTGGGGATGCTTTCTACCCATGTATCATTACCAGCAATAATCTCTGAGTGAACTCTTATTTTTCAGTTCTCAGTTTAGAAATTATATTCCCCTGAGAAACTGTTCATCCCTGCTAGGCTCACAGTTCCCACCCCCTTTAGAGACACTTGGATTAGCTTCTCTCTAATAAAGGAGCCCAGGTTAGATGTATTCAACTTTATATACAGTCTGTCTGTAAGGTGGTGCAATCTAGAGAGAGAGAAAATTTCTGATTACTTTAACACTGCCAAAACGCTTATAAAAATGAATAAAGCCAATAGTACCAGCAAAGTAATTGATGACAGCAGTTGGAAAAAGTCTTCGAATCATGAAAGAACTTTGACAAGCTCTTCTATAGAGAAAAATATGTCAGTAGACACATAGATATAGTACTAAAAGATTATTTCTGAAACCACTGACTTAAAATGTGGATTAATGGTGAGAATTGTCACTATAAAATATTACTTTAATTAAATCGAATTAAAACCAGGTTCTATGGCATGGTTTGTGAAAATTTTTCAAATAAGATTCCATATAGTAGTACTCTGTGTATTTAATACAGTCGCATATTCATTTCTTACAATTATGAATTGTACATTTCAACAAGGATACTTCTCAGTTTCTTTGGGCTCTTTTTATGTATGTTAATAATTTAGCAAGGGTTAAATAATTAGCTTTAAAGATTTACTATTTATAAAATGATTACCTAAAGTTGTCGTATTTTCAATGCACTGAAAACATGCTTTGAGAACATATATACTAAAGAAACTCTAATTCCAAATTTCAATTAAGTACCATGAAAGTTTGACTGAATCTCATTATGCAGGTGTGCACGTGTATAAATATATATATAGATATGTGTATATACACTTACATGTATTTGGTAAGAGGGAAAAGCAATAGCAGAAAATACTTATGCAAGATGCAAAAATGTACTCTAGAGAAATATAAGTACAGGATATATATATCATAAGTGCAAACTCAATAAATTATCAGTTAAAATTTTATTACTCTGTAATATATGGTAGGATCAGTTTACAAATGGTGTGGCCACGGTAGAGTAGCAGGAAGGAATGCAATAAATTAAGCTTGGTGATTCATTCAATATTAGGATACTCTGTAGTATCAAAACTTCCAACACTTCCAAAGATCTTTAGTTGATATCTTTCAGATAAGCCACACATTCTATGTAGGTAGGACATTGTCTGCTGAGTCTATAATTTTAAGAAATGACTTTGGAAAATTAATGGCTTCACTGTATATAAAAGCTGCCACAGATCCCCAAATAGCATATATTCTGATATGGTCTCCATGAACAAAGGAAAAAAACAGCCTACCATCTTGCTATCGTTTTGGCAGCTATTATATGATCAAATATTTTTGACAACTAGGGTATATATCCGCCTCATAACAAATTGACAGACATTGTAAATATGGTCCACTTTCTTTGCAAACATCTTAGTATTTGTGGTTATCTAGTGATGTTCTTTCATGTGAAATGATTTACTAAAATATTTAGATTTTGTCATGTAAAAAATAAGTAGTCAGATATTTACCTCAGAAATAAAACTCGCAGCTGAGCTCTAGAAGTATTGCGTAGTCATGTAGTCATTTCTGTTGTATAGTCTCAGGCAGAAGCAAATTAACAGAAAGGTGAATGTCAGTTTTATAGTAACTGAACACATGGCATCTAAGATAAGTATCTAAAGAGAGCCACATGGTCTGATTAATTTAGTCAGTGTACGTGCACGTGTACTTCAGAGCTTACTCTATTTCTTTTGTTCTTTATCTTTGTAGGCTTAGTTTCATTTGGTTCTACATTATTGCAAAAGACAGATATCTCCTTTATCCTTGGCTTTAATTAGTCTCAAATTCATCTAAGAAGAGAGAAAATGATGCTTTACAAAAGGTTAACATCAATATTGGAACAATTTTTTTTCTTGACAAATCTGTACTATATTTATTTAACTAAATGATTAAAAACACTAATCCTGAGAAAAAGTAAAAATAAGCTTTGATTAAAGACTAAAATTCCTTCATTGTTAAACCTAAACAGCTTTAAAATTCTACCATGGAACATAAAGTTAACAAGACTGGAATTCCGACTTTTGATATTGTCCATAGCAAACCTGAAGATGCTGAGCAGAAATAAAACACACAACAGATAATACACAACAATAAAAAGCATCAGAAATTGATGCACCTGGATTTTGTTAAATATAACAAAGGTCACTCACTCAGTCAGTCCTTCCTGAAGAAATCTAGCCGAGAGAAGAGCACTGGACAGTGTATTGCATCGAACAGAGATCCCTCGGACAGGCAGCACTGGGTTACATTTTTGATAGGCACAGACTTTTTCTCAAAACATTCAAAGGCATAAGACACATTTGGAAACACTATGAATCTTAGTTTTATGAAAATAAAATGTTCTGGTCACTTTGGAAACTGAAGTAAGTCACTTGAGTTACTTTGAGTTAGAGCTACCCCTCATAAAATAAGTAAAGACCAGAAGCAAACCCAAAGCTGGCGAGTCAGTTCCAACTCACAGCGACCCTGTAGGCAGAACAGAATTGCCTTGTAGGGTTTGCACAGGTCGAAATCTTTATATGGAAGCAGACTGCTATATCTATCTCCCGCAGAGCCACCTGGTGGGTTTCAAATCACTGACCTTTTGGTTAGCAGTTGAGAACTTAGCCACTGTGCCACCAGGGTATAAAAACTAAGAGTTCACTATTCAGCAAAGCAGCATGATAAGAGTACTTATATACCAGAGAAGGCATTAAAGGCTTTGTAACACGGGTCAACCCAAGCCAGGCTCTAAGGAGAATTTCCTAGTTCGTGTGTTGAAAGTGCACAGGAGTGGGGATCTGCCAACACGGCAGGGACCCTCTCACAGTATTAAGGCCTGTCCACCAAGGGTGGACTCAGCTCAAAGTCTGCACAGTGAAAACAAGGAGGGGCTTCTTTAATCTGCCTTTTCTTATTCAAACTGTCGCTCTTCCTCTTCATCTGCTTCTTCAATGACCTGGATCTCATCTGCTTGAGGTAAGGAAGAACTGTCCACCTGCAGTTTACTCCCATCAGCTTTACATTTCTCTTCTTTCTCGATGATGTCCTTCCATATCTTATGGTTTTCTGTGAGGTGGTGCATTACTTGGCAAAATATTCGCCGTCTGCCTTTCCTTCTTTGTGCTTCTGTCAAAATTAAAACAGATACGTTCTAATCATTGCAGTATGACTCAATCATTCATTCTACAAACAGCTGAGGCTTATTATAGCCCAGGAGTCCTGGTGTGGTGCTGTGGGCTAATGCGGCAGACTGCAAAGTCCTTTGAACTGCAAGCTCTGTGGTTCAAGCTCACCAGCTGCTCCTTGGAAACCCTATACAGGGTCGCTATGGATCGGAATCGACTTCAAGGCACTTAACAACAATTATATCCCAGGTACTTATCTAACCACTGGGGTTATAGGAGCAAACAATAAGAGAAAAATTCCCCAAACCCTTATATAGAGCTCACAATCTTGTGGAAAGACCTAGTCAAACAAAGGAGCAGAATGTGAGTGAGATGGTTTTAAGTCTTATGGATAAAAATAAACAGAGAAGGGGAGTCGGGGAACTGGGTGGCAGTAGAGGGGAAAGGAAAATGGTGGGGCTGAAAGGTCAAATGATGAATAATAACAATGCAAAGTTTTAAACTAGCCTTTCTGGGATTTTTAATGTGTGTTGAATTAAAATTTCTGTTACAAATGTCTGATTTACAAACGACTCTGACTTGTTCTTTAATGTTGGAACTCCAATGGGTTGTGTCATGACCAATGAAGCAAATCAAGTACAGACTGGATGTTTATAATTTGAGTGATTCACCTAGGTAACCGGAACAGAATAATTATAGGTCAAAGCCCTAGAATGGGAGGCTCAGAGAAGGTATAAGGTATAAGGAGCTCTTTCAGGAGCCAGATGCTGCCATCCTTGAAGCCCTGCTTTAATGTTATGTAAATTAATCCTCCCTTTGAAACAATGGAACCAATCCCAATTTACAACAAATTCTTCAGCACAATCACCTTCACTTGCTGCACGTGCACCTTTTAAATCACTGAAAAACCTACACTCCTGGCTTAATGCCCTGGACTGCAAGGTCAGTTTGAACTGCAAAGGTCGGCAGTTCAAGCTCACCTGTTGCTCCTCAGAAACCCTATACAGGGTCACTATGAGACGGAACTGGTTTGACAGCACTTAATAACAACAAATGCACAATAAAAAGTTTGAAAAAGGAAAAGGCTTTGAGTCTTTCCTTGCTCTAAAATAATGCTAAGAACTCATCTACAAATTCTTAAAGATGCAGTTAGGAATATCTCATTCATAATCCTGGGACAGCCTGTATAAATAAGATTCAAAAGCCAGTCAGTCTTTCCAAATTCTAACAGTGTAACATTAGTATTTGCTATGTTAAACTTGAATACAATGTGTTTGGGTGGGTGGTGGTGGTGGGGTTCTTTGTAGTTATATGTGTTCTTATTTATAGAATATTTGGAAACAAAACACAAACAGTGTTGTTAAGTGCCATGGAGTTGGTTGGTTCTGACTCAGAGTGACCCTGTACAGGGTTTTCTAGGAGCAGATCTTCCAACCTTGTGGCTGATCCTATAGAGCCACAAGAGCAAATAATTGATTGCATTCACAATTACAAAGTCAACAAAAAATTTCTTTTTCATTTGTCGTGTGCATTTGGTCCTAGTGTGGTACTGTAGGATAAGCACTGGAACACAAGGTTGGTTAGAATTGCAAGGAGGTTCAAGTCCACCAGTTGCTCCTCAGAAACCCAATACTGGGTTTCTATGAGTCTAAATCAACCCCAAAGCATTATAAAAATATGTTACTATGACTTAGTAATATATAAGACCACACACTTGGTTCTCCCCTTTGGTCATGGATTAATTTTTTTCTCCCCAGTGTTTTGATCTATTTTCCAATGCTGTGTGAAGGGCAGATTAGCAGGCTGTTTTGGAAGTTGTGCTCCTCAGCTGCCTGGCAGGGCCTTAGGGTTTGGGGTGGGGGTGGGGGGGTGAGATGAAGGAGGACAAGCACCTACCTCACAAATATCCAGACGTGTGTCAGTCTTATGTATAGACAGTGGAGCCTGCTGAAGAGTACTGACTGGGGACCAGTGTCTCAGAGATGCTACACTAAGTGAGATGTAATCAAAATGTCTGTTGTGTGACAGCATTAGTACAGTACCCAACAGTTATTCAAAATGTGCTTACTGAATATAAACAAATAGTAAATACTCAATATATGATTACTGAATCTGTATCTTGAAACAAAAATCCAAATCCAGATTAAATGCATTTATAGTTAATAACACGAAATGATAGTACACATGTATTCTTACTAGGATTTAGACTGTCTTCCATTTCTTCATCATCTGTATCTAATTCGTCACCATCTTCTTCCTCATCATCACTTTCAGTATCATCCTCGTCTGCTTCAATCCACTGGCCAGGTAGCAAACCCGCAGCATCATAGGAATTACACAGGGGACCCACTATGTGGGTGATAAAGGATTCTTGGAGTTTTGCTAGTTGAGGAGAGGAACGGTCCATGAAGGGACTAATGGGCAAACCAAGATTTGCTTCTTCATCTCCCTGATCATTTTTAAAAGAAGAGTAAAATTTCAACTGTTGAAGGCACAACCACTGAGCTATGCTGTTAAAATTATCAAGGCATTTAAATCCATATAGCAATTTTTCACAAAGAAGCATCGATGTATCGAATTTTTTTTATAACTTCAACTGTAGGAATTTCCCCAATGTTTGAGAAATCCTAAACAAGAACATTCTTATACTCTTTCCACATCAACCTGCAAACTTCTGTATTGTGAACTCTAAGTCCTCTTTCTCCTGGGGGAAAACAGTATAATGCAATTATTTTTCTAGTTCTGGTGTACCTCACATGCATAGAGTTGAATTTTGCAAGTGCTTTTCAAATAACCCTCCTTTCTAAACAGTAGAACGCTTTCACCTAGGAAATCTAAATCCAAAGACACAACATTTAAAACAGACAGAAGTAGAGGTACTGTGTGGTGGAGGTGAGGATTCTAGGCCTAGAGCCTCAATTTGCCTGCCTTCTGATAAGTGTATCCCACAGTGGTCTCTAGAGTTCTGAAGAGCACAATTTGAGACCAGACAGTGGTCATTTCAAAACCAACTTTTCCACTTACTGTGTTAATGGGCAAGCACTATATTTAGTTTCTTCATGAGTGAAAAATGTGAATTTATCTCTAGTGTGGGGCTGTAGGAGAAACACTGGATGGTTAATCACAAAGTTGGTGGTTCAAACCCACCAACTGCTCCTTGGAAACGCTATATAAGGTTGCTGTAAGTCAGAACTGATTCTACAGCACTTAACAACAGCAGCAGGTAACCACAAGATTAGCAGTTGAAACCTACCAGTCACCATCAGAAACTCTATATATGGTCACTATGAGTTGGAACCCACTCTACAGCACACAATAGCAACAAGCTACTTCAGAGGAGCCCTGGTGGTACTGTAGGAGAAGCACTGGACTGCTAAACACAAAGTCAGCAGTTCAAACCCTCTATTCACCCCTACAGGAGAACGATGAGACTTTCTGCTCCATAGTAACACAGCCTTGGAAACTCTGTACAGGGTCACTGTGGATTGGAAATGACAATGGCAGTGAGTTTGGTAATAATCTACTTCACAGGGTGAAAAGCAAGAGTATGTCAAACAGTGCTAAGCATTCCCCAAATGATACGATCAACATTTTAGTTGCTAGTGTCTGAATTGGTTAGGGATGAATACTTCCCTTAAGACACAAATTCTGTTGGGAAGAAATGTCTATCTGTGAAGCGCCAACATGGTCCTGAGGAAACAACCAGAAATTATGCTAGTCATTTAAAATCTTCTATTATTTCATTTTTTATAAGGAAGAAATTTGATTATTGTTTCTTAAAACAAAAAAACAAAAAACTTGGGTTTATCCATAGAACTCTTTCACTTTTATAGGTACATACCAGAATTTGGATTCCCTATGCCCATGGTGCTGCAATGGCTAACTCCACTCCCCCACTGCCAATGAATCAATTCCAACTCATAGCAGTCCTATATAGGGGTTCCCAAACTGTAAATCTATGGGAGCAGTCAGCCTCAGCTGTCTTTCGCAGAGTGATTGTTGGGTTTGAAAATAAAAATCTGGGGTAAGGTTAGAATTTTGGATCTATATCTAAAGGAAGTTTAATAGGTCTCATGAGGAATGACTAGGACTTACATACACATTTAACCTTCATGACAACTCTGTGTGATACGGTGTCAGATGACAGTATCCTTCTTTGATATCTGAATGATTAAACATGGGAAGATTAAGTAAAACTGTCTGGAGATAATATTAAATTGGTTTTAGTTGCAGATTTGAAATTATACAGAATTGTAATAGCTAACATTTATTGAGCACATGTGTACTAGAACTATGCTAATTGTTTCACATATATTAGTTCATTTAATCCTAAAAGCAATTGTATAAGGTAAGTACCATCATGAATCCTATTTTATCAATGAGGAAACTGAGGCACAGAGAGGTTAAGTAAATTACCCAAGTCCACACTTAGTAAGGAAAAGGAGCCAGTAGTCAAACTAAGGCAGACTTCTAAGTCTGATTGATATGTATTACTCCTATATGCTTTTGAAATAATTATAAAATTTGTGTAAATGAATTTATATTATGTTATTTCACTGAATTAATGAGTTTTGTAACAGCTGCATATAATATTACTTTACTATTATCTCTGCATAGATAATATGAAGATGGCATTTTCCTTAGCATAAAATTCCTCTTATAAATACAGGGTCTATGAAAGATCTGAGATAGGTCCAAATTATCAGTAAGAATGAGAATATGAAAAAAACATGTTTTGTAATATACACACTGGACAAATGTCTATAATGATCTATCATATAAAATTACATATCATTGGATTCAGATGTATCAGAAATTAATAAAATAATGACCTTGGGAAACATATTTTCATGATTACACAGTATGGTATTTTGTAACTTGTGAACATCAAAGTATACATTATTGTATTGGGATGTTTGGCTAAGGTGAATGAAAGGCAATACATTGCTTGTCATTCAGTACAATCTGGGAAGTTATATTGTTAAGTGCTGTCAAGTCATTTCTGACCCATAGTGACCCTGTATAGGGTTTCTAAGGAGTGGCTGGTGAGCTTGAACCACCAACCTTGTGGTTCAAATGACTTTGCAGTCCAGCGCATTAACCTACAGCACCACACCAAGAACCCAGGGTTGTAGATATGGTTATATAGGCTCAATTTTATTATACCTACTGAAGTAGCCGCCCACGACAAGGAGGCCCCATCACAAAGACTTCACATGGTGGAGAACTTGATAATTCTGATAATTAAGGCCAACATAGAATGCAAGGTGGTGTATTTTATAGTTTAGAGTTAACAAAATAATAGTGTTGTGGGAAAATCAGTGAGCATTAACACTGGAGGAAAAAATGGTACAGATGTTGCAAAGTGACAAGATTTTTCAAATGCCAAGATTTTTTCAAATTTGAGAAACAAAAGAGCACGCTTGTATCTCTGATCCTTGAAAACCATTAAACATCTACTCTGTCCCTGTTTCCAGCTCTCTGATTTGTTTCTTCGTTTCTGCTGGGGCTTTGCCACAACTAATGTTTCTATGACAGGTTGTTAACCTTTGTGTATCAGATATCAAAAGTGGGATGATATGATTTAATTCTATCTGGAAGCTGTTTAAAAACCACTTCATATGGAGAGAAATGATTCTAGTTTATATACTTCCAGGGTGGAGAGGCACATTGTAGTCTATCTTCACCCCTAGACCCAACAGTACATTCAATGCACTCATGGTAGACAGTAAGTTATTTTGTTGTTGTTATTTTAAAATTTTGTAGCAAGGCAAAAAGTTGTACAAATACTGCGAACCTGAGCAAATGCAATTACTAACTCATTTGGGTCAAAGCAACTCAGATTTCATGCACTTAATGTGAACTCTCCAAAGCCCAGACAGTCATCTTTATATGGCAACTCTTAAAAGTCTCTCAATCTCATGGTCCAACTTACCTGCTCATAAAATTCATTCACAATGCCTTCTGTCCATTTCATATGCAAGTCCCGAACTTTTGCTGGGCCATTGATATCTGCTAGTTTGATGCATACCTGGCACACTAAGAGGCGATCATTTTCATTGCTCCATTCAATACCATTACTATTTACATCATTGGCCTATTGGGGGAAAACAGAATTCTTTTAGGTTCTGAGGTATAGAAGTATTACACCAAATTATCTTAAGACTTACTTAAGTATTACACCAAATTATCTTCCAAAGGATAGGAAGAAAATTCAGTAAATGCTTCTTTAAATCAGTCCATACATGGACCCCTATCACTCTGATTAAATTTCCCATTTGAAGTGTCACTGTAATTTTGCTTCAGTGGAAACAGAGTTCTTTAAAAATATATAATGAACCATGGGTTTCAATACTGTAATTACCACAAAGAATCATTTTATATAATATGTAATATGCATTTGTATTGTTGCTGTTCAATACCATCCAGTTGGTTCTGACTCATAGCAACCCTGTCTAGGGTTTCAGAGGAGCGGCTGGTAAGTATGAAACACTGACCTTGTAGTTTAAACCCACCTTGTTGTCCAGTGCTTATCCTAATATCCATAAATAAAGTGAGAGCTGTAGGTGTAGATTTCTATCCCAAAAAAGCACACTTAAGGAGCTAAGGAGAACTTGGGTCTAGCTGTGAAAGGCAACCATGATATAGTTGAAAGAACCCACGTCTTTGGGGCTGATCTTCCTGATCTTAAGTCCTTATTGAGTCTGATTTAATACTTCAGTATTTAATACTTTCTTCACATATAAAATAGAAAAAGTGATACTAATCTAGTTGTACAAGGACAAGTCAAAAATTAATGCTACTAGAGCTCCAATTTATACATGCATGGATTTATTCTAAACAAAACCTGTTTAAACATGTGCCTATGGTCAGTGGATAGCTACAGACAGGTCCCTCAGTAATACATTTGTCTTAGTCTCGTTAGAGTGTCTGCAGAAAAATAATACTTTTTGTTCCATGGGGGGAAAAAAACAATTTGAGGTCAGGGATATTATCAAATTTTTAACAAAAATCAAATAGGCATCTTCCCAAATCATTCGACCTTTGCAACAAGTTTACAGGAATGCTGACCCATGTAAAACAACAGTTTTCAGATGGATGAAACATTTCAAAGAAGGTCTGAAAGACCTCAATCAAAGATGAATTCAATGTAGACAGGTCAGCTCAGAAGGCATGGTAACCACTGTTTGGGACTCCAAAGGGGTCATCTTAATATATTTCTCAAAGGGCACAGTATGATCACGGGGGATTATTAGGAATAAGTTATAAGAAAATGGAAAACTGAAGTGGTGAGAAAAGGCCAGGAGAGTTATGCCAAAGAGTATGTTTCCTTTATAACAATATACCTGATCATTCTTCAAGGGTAGCAAGGGCTGTCCTATGAGAACTTTGTTGGGGTCTCTTACCCAACTGGTAGTGTAATGGTTAAGAGTCAAAACTACCAGCTGTTCCACGGGAGGAAGATGAGACTTTCTGTTACCGTAAAGACTCACAGCCTTGGAAACCCTGTACAGGGGCTCGCTATGAGTCGGAACTGACTCCACGGCACCACCACCATCCCCCCTCATCCACCCAAGAGTCTTGATCCTGCCCCTTCAGACTTCGTTTTTATTCTCCAAACTCAAAGAACATTTCAAAGGAACACGATTTTAATCCCTCAAGGATACCAAAACTGCTATTTTGACACAGTGTAAATGGAAGAACACAGAATTATTCAGGGAAGGGTTAGAGAAATGGAAACATCACCTTTAGGAGTATAGGCCCTGATGGAGGATATGTTGAGAAATACTAGCTTCATGTTTTGATGATTTTGCTTAACAGAGGTTGCTATGATTTTGCAGCATTACTTTTTGTCTTACCCTTATAATGTCATGAGAATTAATAAATGAAAATTGTCTAATTCATTGTGTGTCGTTGAGTTGGTTCTGACTTACAATGACCCTATACAGGGTTTCCAAGGAGCAGCTGATGGGTTTGAACTGCTGACCTTGTGGTTCGCAGTCCACAGGTTATCCTACCAAGCTGCACCAGGAGTCCATAATTCATAGTAAGTGGTAATTAAATTTTAACATTATTATTTAAATACATGGTCATTATCAATATCATTTAGGCAAACTAGTATACCTTTTAAGAACTCATTGTCACTTGTAAAAAATGAATAGAATGTGTCAGATCAGAGTCTTTTAAACTTTACTATATTGGTTAATAAGGAGCTCCGGTAGTGTAGTGGTTATGAATCTGGCTGCTAACTTCAGGGTAAGCAGTTTGAAACTACCAGCTATTCTATGGGAGAAAGATGAGGCTTTCTGCTCCCATAAAGATTTACAGCCTTGGAAACTCTGACAGGGTTGCTATGAGTTGGAACCGACTCCACGGCACATAACCAACCACCATAACGGTTAATATCTCTGCACCCCCTTTGTCCAAGGAAAATTTACCTAGAATAACAATGTAGAAAATAATTAACAGGAGAGTTCTTTGGATTGAAACAGAGTGGGAGGTCTAGAGGCCCACTCTTGATATTTTCTTTGGAGACTACAGAACCAAAGTCTCTGAGAAACGCAGATTCAAGACTACTGGGTTAAACAGTCTTTCACTCTAAGTACTTAAGTACTATGACTTAAGCACTTATGAAATTTATATTATTAAACAAAAATGAAAGTTAAAAGGACTACACAACCATGAAATAACTTTCAAGGAGCATGGCTTTCTCACTGATTACTATAAGCATTTTATTAATATCATAACAACAATATATTAGTGCTTTCCTTTCAGGGGGATAACTAGTCCCCTTTTTTGTTGTTACCAGTTCCTCTACCCTGAAGGTACAGCTTCTTTTAGGTCACTGAAGTCATCAAGAAAACAGCAGCTTCCTGCCAACAAAAGAGGGGAATCCTTCCCTCAGGAATCTAAAGCAGTGGGTCTCAACTTTTTTTCACCCCAAATGTCTGAGGAGTAGAACATATTTCTGTTAGTACTGCCATCATGCTAGGGCACTAAATCTAGGTCCCCTAGTCAATGTGAGTTCTCTAGGGACAGGAACACTTTTCCTTCCTTATTTTTCTTTAACACAATGATCATACCAAATGACCAATGCCAATAGTTACTGAATGAGGAAATGATCTCAAACGGAAGAATTAATAGTGCAGTTCCTCCTCCACACCAGTCAGTTAAGAATCACTGATATAAAGAAGGTGACGAGGTGTGGAGTAGTACGCATAAATGGCTTCTTAGAAACACATCTTTAATTTTAGATAATGCCTTTCTTGGCACTGTGCACACTTTCTAAAATTGGCCTACAAAAGCTTTTGTCATAATTCATTGGTTTGTGATGATGTGAAAGAAAATCACAACAATATAAATCTTTATGTCAGAAATGCGATACAGCAAAAGCAGTATCATTTTAGTACATATCATCGTAGCAGTAAAAACGTTATTTCTTAAAAAAATAGGCATATATATTCGCTTATATCACACACTTATAGTGACTTCATGAGTAGTACTAACTGTAACTTCACATTAAAACACACCTTTAATCAGTAACACTGAAAAGAAAGATTTGCATTTCTGAAATCAGGCATTAATTTTACAACAAACCTTGGCATTGAATTCAGCAAGGAAATCAAAATGCTTTTTAAGATCTGTGGCAAGGATTGCTTCAATGACTAAAAAACGGAAGCGCTTGAATTCCACATGATCAAGATTAAGAAGAAAGTTGTACTCGGGATGAGAAAGATACAGATTCCAAGCTGACGCAGCATGATGATTTTCAAGAACTGATCTGTCGTTGTACAAAACTGCCTACAGACGAATAAAGAAAGAGAAAATTAGTGCAGGCTGGAAGAACACAAACAACGAATACCTACTATATGTCAGGCGTCTGGCCAAGTATTTTAATACCTGTGAAGAAGGGTTGTAATAATTTTATAAATATGTACACTGAAGTGCAAAGAGGTTCAAGTACACCTTTCTTGTAGGGTACACAGCTAGCAAGTAAAAGGGTTACTTTTAAAAAAAAAAAACACCTATTTTTATTGTTGTTATAGTTTGGAATATACACAGTAGGATACACACCAATTCAACAGTTTGTACACATACGACTCCGTGACAAAGATGACATTTTTCAAGTTGGGCAGCCATTCTCACCCTCCATATCTAAACAATTCCTCTCACATTAACAAACTCAATATCCCCTAAGCGTCCTATCTACTCTTTTGAGTTGCTATTGTCAACTTGATCCCATAAACAGTTCTTAAAAGAACTCAGTATACAAGGCAGACGTTCTTTATTTAGTTAAGCTAAACTTGTTTGGTTGTGAGAAGGCTTCAATAGATATTTTTGGTTTAAGGTTTAAAGATTATCTCTGGCAATAGTTTCATGGGTTCACCCAGCTATCATGGGTCCGGAAAGTCTAGATAAATGAGAATAAAAGGGCTAGTGTTTGAAGTCAGGCTTATTTGTCTTCAAAGTCCATCTTCTTTCCAAACACCATGCCACCTCCAAGAGAAGTGAAGTTGATATTTTTAGGATTACTTAATTAGTAAACGATCTCCGATAATAAAATTATCAGGTACACAGAGCAGGTTCAGGGATAGGTTCCTGTTCTTTAGCTAATATGGGGTCAAAGGTGATAGTGAGTAAAGAAAAGGGAACAACAGAGCTGAACCAGGAGTACATCTCACAATCCTAGCCTAACACAGTTCATAGGAGTAAGAAGCAGAAAACAGATACAACCAAAAATCCTCTGGTTCAAAATGGTAGAGAAAAGCCTGGAACTGCTAACTTTTCTCCACGAAATCCAATGGTATAATGATGTATCTCTTTAGTACTCGAAGACTTTGTAATATAGAGCCAAAATCACTAGGTTATAAAATTTCTAAAATCTCTTCCACCATCTCTAAAAAAATGTACATTGTTTAATAAACACATTAACTATTAAATAAATTCCACAACCACTTTGGGCTAAAAGTCAGGGATAAAAAGAAAAATCCTATCCCTATTTTCATGGTCTTATTGTTTAATGGGAAAGAAGGATAGATAAAAATAGAATATCATTTTAGTTAGGAGTCGTGGTGTAGCACAGGGGGCTAATATGCTGGACTGCAAAGTCAATTTGAACCACAAGGTCAGAAGTTCAAGCTCACCAGCTGCTCCTTGGAAACTCTATACAGGGTCACTATGGGTTGCAACTGACTCAATGGCACTTAACAACAATGACAATTTCAGTTACGATACTATTCTGAGAGCTTAATTAAATTATTGTTGTTAAGTGCTGTTGAGTCAGGTCTGGCTCATAGTGAGCCTTTTTAGGGTTTCTGAGGAGCAATTGGTGGGTTTGAACTGTTGGTCTAGTGCTTACCCTACAGTGTCATAGCAAGACTTCACAATTAAATGTTGTCTCTGTTAAATGCTGTCGAGTTGGTTCTGACTTATAGCGACCCTTTATAGGGTTTCCAAGAAGCGACTGGTGGGTTTGAATTGCTGATCTTTTGGTTTGCAGTTCACTGCTTATCCTACTTAGTGTGGTGTCTTGGGCTAATGAGCTGGACTGCAATTCGGTTTGAACCACAAGGTCAGTGTTTCAAGCTCACCAGGCCCTCCTTGGAAACCCTATACAGGGTCGCTATGGATCGGAACCGACTTGTCAGCACTTAACACACAACTTCCTTAAGGAGCCCCGATGGTGCCGGAGTTAGCGCTCAGCTGCAGACCCAAAGGTTGGTGGTAGGATGTGACCGTCTGCGTCCATCAAGCTTGGGAAACCCTAGGGGCAGTTCTAGTCTGTCCTAGAGAATCATTGCAAGTCAAAATTGAGTTGATGGCAATGGTTTTACTTAACACTTGTAAAATTAGCTGTAACAAATAATAAACAGAGTTTGTTTCTTTTAAATGCATTTGGTTTTATGTAAGCAATGATGCAATTGAAACTTTTCAATGGACCATTTAAAGGTATTTTACATTAGTCTTAATACAACTTCTAAACATAAATCCAAAAGAGAAAGAATAAGCTTTAAAGATTCTCGAATGCATCAATTTATATTTAATAGTAACTTAAGCTCAAACCTTTGTCTGTTTAGAAAGGAGGACACAAACTCCTGACTCCATAGGGCACAATGTACGAGTGTGCTGTGAACTCACTGAGGTCCAGCAGGGGACCTATTTGACTTACTCTCTGGGTACATTTTTCCTTTCTGTGCACTGTCCTACTTGGCTTTTCTTCAATTCACTCTCATTTTTCACTGTGTCTTTGACGTTTCCAATAGTGTGATTATCTCTAGATTCTAATATCAATTCCTATTTTGTCACATTTTAGATTTCTTTGATAATTTCAAAGGATAATTTAGATGGTGAAGAAACTCAGAACTCACGCCTTTATTTTACTGACCTCACTAGTTGGAGGCTAAAGTCAGACAGCTGCAGAGGATCGCTCTGGCTTCTGTGTGTTGAGAACAGACTGAAAGGTGGCAGGAATTATAGCAAAGGAAACGAGGTAAAAAACTAGATTTTCTCATAACTCTCAAATCAATCTCACTTCAATCTCGGCACTCCTCATCTATTGATTCTAACAATGAAAAGTCAGAAATAATATATGCAGTTTCTACCAAAAAATTCTTACAAAATGTATAAAGATTAATACTAAGATTGAAATCTAACAGTCAGTTACCAGTGGAAATCATGAGCTACTTTACGCACCCACACTCTCTCTCTTGCTCACACACACACAATGAATCTTATGCTTGTTCTGGGTAGACAATCGACCACATTTGGAAAAGTGAGTAAATGAAAGAGAGAGAAATGATAAAGCAACAAAGAGATTAGCTATAGAAGATAAAAGAACCAGACGGACATTTAAATATACAGTAATCACGTGAAAGAAGTTAGATCAATTTAGCAAACACTCATTGAATACTATCCTTTGTAAGGAGCTCTGGTAGCGTAGTGGTTACAAATCAGGCTGTGAACCGCAAAGTCAGCAGTTCGAAACTACTAGCTGTTCTGCGGGAGAAAAATGAGGCTTTCTGCTCCCGTAACCGTACAGACTTGCAGCCTCAGAAACCCTATACAGGGTCACTATGAGCCAGAAACGACTCCACGGCACACAACAACAAATCCTTGTGAGGCAGGAGGGCTGGAAACACAAAGATGATATTTCAGGAATCACCCAGAACCACACGGAATTCTACCTAAAACAAAGTTTTTAGTTCCAAGTCCTAATGTTTAGAGATTATTACAGTTAACATTTGCATAAAGAGGTAGAAAAAAGAACTTCTATCTCTTCATGCTAATTGTGGTTCTGTAGGAATTTTGCACCTTATCAACTGTGATGTGGTGTGCTGTCCAGTGAGTCCCGACTCAGAGTGACCCTGTACAGGGTTTCTAAGGGCAGTCCATTTTTACAGGATCAGAAAGCCTCATCTTTCTCTTGAGGAGCACCTGGTAGATTCCCACCGTTGACCTCGCATTTAGCAGCCCAATGTGTAGCCACAACACTACCAGGGCTCCTTTGTCAGCTGAACTAGGTACAAAAATAAAATTCTACTAGAAGATTCTTCACATATACTACTATATTTCAGCGCTAAGAGGTTTAAGGTCTAGGTATTAAGGCAAGTCAGAAGTAAAAATGACCCTAACAGAAACCAACCTCCTCAAGCATATAGCATTCAGCCATACACAGGACCTAACCAGAAGGGAGAGTTAAGTCTTGGATCTAGCCAAAGAGTTTTATTAATTTGATGAAAGTCAAAAGTATAAACAGCTTGTTCCCCAGACTAGTACAAATCAGTGAGTTACTAGTTCTTGACTGATTTACTTACTTTCTAGTATAAGAAGGTGATGTTTTTCCTAATTCCCTAGCATACATCATGACTGATTTACTTACTTTCT